TTCATCCCCAGGCCTCCTCCGTCTGGGAGACAGTGGGTGTTCTGCCAGGCTGGTGGATCCATGAAATAATGTTGCACAGGGAACTGGGTGCTGAGCAGCTTGTGACTCACCTCTCTGTTGTTTGTTTGGTGCTGAGGAGCCCTGCTCACAGCCCAGGAGCCCCCTGTGCTGGGCAGAGTTGAAACCCTACAAAACCGCAGCTCCTACCTCTCGCAGCCCCCACTCTAAATGAGCCTTTTGGGAATGTCCCTGAACTTCACCTGCTGTTGCCTTTGTCTCACAGCTTTTTCTTCTTTCATGCTCTGTTGTCTCTTCTCCAGGATGCCCGGAAAGCTTGTGCAGACACAACACTTGCTCAGGTAAGGTCTGGGGCCGTTTGGCAGGTGAGTCTGCATGTGGGGAAATAGCATCACTCCAAGGGGGGCTCTCTCCAGCCAGCAAGAAATCAGGAGGCAGGGATGTGGGGAGCAGGCCAGCCCCTGTCAGTCCAAGATTAATCCTTTCTCTCCCCCTACTCTTTCCTCAGATCGTGGCCGGTGTGGAGGTTGTCGGTCGCATTCAGATGCGGACCCGAAGGACCCTGCGTGGGCACCTGGCCAAGATCTATGCCATGCACTGGTCGACGGACTCCAAGTGAGAGATGCTGCTGAGCTGCTGGGTGCCCAGAAGCACGTGGGAAAGAAGGCTCTGATGAGAAGAGAGCTACTAACACGATCTTGTTCCTCTCTCACAGACTCCTGGTCAGTGCCTCACAAGACGGGAAGCTGATTGTGTGGGACACGTACACAACTAACAAGGTAAGGGGCGGGTGGATGCAGCAAACTGCAGTGGGTCCCTCGGATCTAGTGCCCTCGCCCTGCTCCCCCAAATTCTCTGCTGCCAGAGACCAGACACAGCTTCTTGTCCTCCCAGGTCCACGCCATCCCTTTGCGTTCTTCCTGGGTTATGACCTGTGCCTATGCCCCCTCGGGCAATTTTGTGGCCTGCGGGGGCCTCGACAACATGTGCTCCATCTACAACCTCAAGACTCGTGAAGGCAATGTCAAAGTGAGCAGAGAGCTCTCAGCCCATACAGGTGGGTGTGCCTCCTCCTGCAGCCTGGCTGCCCTCTGCTTCCAAACCCCACTCTTTTAGCCCCGTCCTGTTTCTCACTCTTGATTGCTCCCACTTTCCAGGTTACCTCTCCTGCTGCCGATTTCTCGATGACAACAACATTGTGACTAGCTCTGGAGATACCACGTGGTGAGTGTTATCTTCTGCATCTTATTGACACGAACAATCACACTAAAAACTCACATGGATCCCCCAGCATACTGCATTTTGGGAAAACTCCACCTCAGGCGTGACCTTAGGAGCGGACACTGTGCAGCCCCTCTGGCTCCAAGAGCTCAGCACGTGATGTTTTCCTCTGCAGCACCCTCCTTCCCATGAGGTGTAAGGATGAATTGTTTTACCTGGAGGCCACACAGAGCAAATTAGGAAGCTGGATGCCTTCTTCCTCCCTTGGCAGAGCAGGTGCTACTTTTCCCTGCTGAGGTCAGGTCATGATGCAGATCTACTGGTGAAGCAGCAGGGCCCATGTCCCCAGCTCTCACAAAGCACAGTGTTGTTTATCCCAGGACAAAAAGCATTTTAAATTTGCATGGAGCCTACGCTATGTGGTCCTGTTCTCAGATCCTATCCCTTTCAAAAGTAAATAGCAAAAAGCCAGTGCCTAAATCCTTTGTTTCCTGGTTCTCCAGTATCTCTGTGTTGTGACTGAGCAGTTCTGAGCCTTTACTCACCCCCACCCCATCCCAACACCCACTTTGGAAGAACCTCTTGAACGAGGGTGAGTTGGAACGTGGCATTTCCATCAGAAAGGGACTCATTTGCCTGCCTGTGGTGTGATCCCAGTGACCGTGTCCCATGCATCCAACAAGCGTGGCAGACTTTTTTGGCTGTTTTTCTTTGGGTGTCTCTTACCTCTTCTCAGCATCCCCTTCAGCTGTTGCAATTATGGGAACCCTGTCAGACCACACGCACCCCCTCAGCCTTAGTCTAACCCTGCTTGGGTTAAGGTATGAACAGCAACAGCTGTGAACATATTTCCTTCTGTATATTTTCGTCCATCTTCCCACGTGGCAGCCAGGTCCATGACTTCCCTCCTCCTGTTTGTGAGTAGGACGATTCCTCATCCCAGCTGATAGAGTTGTCCTGGCTCTGAGAAGTTCTCTCCTCTGCCACAGTGCGCTCTGGGACATTGAGACTGGGCAGCAGAAGACAGTGTTCCTGGGCCACACCGGAGACTGTATGAGCTTGGCGGTCTCCCCGGACTTCAAGCTGTTCATCTCTGGGGCCTGCGATGCTACTGCCAAACTGTGGGACGTGCGGGAGGGTACCTGCCGCCAGACCTTCTCAGGGCACGAGTCTGATATCAACGCCATCTGCGTACGTATGCCATCTGTGTGGTGGTGGGGGGACAAAGAAAAATGAGGGTGGGCCAGCATGAAATAGTGTCTCAGGTCAAAGCTGAAAGAGGTTGTCACAGCGACGTGGGACATTTTGTAATAGCTCTAGCCCCTTGATCATTGGCTTTCTTAATGTGGAAAGGGTCTACTCGCTCTGAGAAGCATCAGTTTCCAGCTTCGGGATACTAACCTTTTGAGATCCAATGCCTTGTCTTACTGCCCAGCCAGTCTGGCTTTCTGGTGCTTAGCAGAGGGACGAAGGTGTCGAGGAAACCTGTAAGACACAGAGGGATTAAAACGCGGTGTGCTCTCCTCAGTTCTTCCCTAACGGCGAAGCCATCTGCACCGGCTCAGACGATGCCACCTGCCGCCTCTTCGACCTGCGGGCCGACCAGGAGCTCATAGTGTACTCTCACGAGAGCATCATCTGCGGAATCACCTCGGTCGCCTTCTCCCGCAGCGGGCGCCTCTTGCTTGCCGGGTACGACGACTTCAACTGCAACATCTGGGACTCCCTGAAAGCAGAACGCGTGGGTGAGTGGCTCCTGGGGGCCCCGCTTTCGTACTCTGCAAGGTCTCCTATCCCTTCCAAAGCAAGGAAAAGGCCCCAAAAGGCCCTCATTTTCTAAAAGGGACACATCCTATACAAATCAAAGATCTGCAGTACTTCCTTGTGCTTAAAGAACATACTGTAAATACTACAACTATCTTAAGAATTGTTGGCTTTAAGATTAAGCAGGTCAAGCCTTTAAAAAACATGGCTTCAAAAAGGAAATGAGTATCAATATTCCTATTAGATAAACTACTCTAAGGCATCATTATTTCACACTTTCTCCTAGCCTCTGCTGTTTGCCTGTTCCAGCTGCTCACAGTGCCACTTGGTGGCCGGGCACCAAACTGAGCACGGACCTGAGCTTCTGTCCATCAGCTGTGGATATTTTGTGGTGCTCCTGCAAAGGATACACCCAAATACCATTTTTCTTCCAGATGTGGCTCCTAGCCTCTGCAAATTGATACCACAGCCCACCTTTTGATCTGCAACAGCATTGCTATTTCTGTTTTGTAGAACTATTTGATAATAGCTCTAGGGGGAAGTATGTAGCAGCAATCTCTCTTGTGCTGAGGATTCAGCTAGCTGGCCCCAAAACATTGTTCTTTGGTGAGATCCCAAAGCTGTACACCGTGCACAAATGTTCTTCTGCATGTTTGTTTTATTAGCCATGTTACGCAGGGACAGACAGCATGACACAGGGCAGTAGGTACATGGCCTGTGGTGAGCTCAGTCAAGCCCTTCACCTCTCCCAGCCCCATTTCTTCTGCTAATCTTTCTTCTTCCCCTCCTGTCAGGAATCCTCTCTGGCCACGACAACAGAGTGAGCTGCCTGGGGGTGACAGCAGACGGCATGGCTGTTGCCACTGGCTCCTGGGACAGCTTCCTCAAGATCTGGAACTGAGGATGACAGGAGAGAGGGAAAGAGCAGCAGAAGCACAGCCCATGGCAGAGAGCATCACCAGCTGAGCACAACAGAAACGCCTACTTGTCACTCCCGCTCGTCTCTACTCTACTTGTGGGGTCTCCTAGAGTGAAAGGAAGAGAGGTCAGGGGGTGGGGAAGCAGGAGCACACACACTGCCTCTTCTCTCCACTTCTAAACAAGCCCAGCAGTACCTAACCTCTTGGGGGCTTGAAGGCTGCAAAACACAACTGTTTGTTACATCTCAGGACTTCACAATGCAGTTCAGATCCCACGTCTTCCTTCAGAGACCTCTACCCATACTTGACACCCATCCCTCTGAAAACCCCTTATCCAACACCTCTGTCCTTGACCTCACTTCACCTAGCTTCTCCATGTGGTTGTCAGCTCCCCACAGACAGCCCCAGAGACACATGGGGTTCAAGATTTATGTTATGCAACCTCTACGAAACAGGTAGCATAAATTGGGCTCATTTCCCATTGGGAAAACTTAACTCAAGTCCTATCTATGCATAAATGGGGGAAAGGGTAGCCCTCAGACCTGCCAGAACCAGGGAATGTTATTTATTCTTATTTATTGTTTGCTTCTTGCTGTTCCTTCTCTTTTTGCCTCATCCCTGTGTTGTGTGGTGACCCTGTCAAACCAGTAGCCATCAGCCACTACTTCCAAGTCTGTTCTAGATCTTTGTAACCCAGGCTAATAAAGAAAGCTGACAATAAGCACCACTGACTTCATTATTCCCAGGATAGCAATGAACTACTGCAAACAAAGCTCTGCTCCTGTGAATACTGCCTACTGGTCCTCTCCTGAGAGCATCCCATATCTCAGGGCATTCTTCTACCTCTAAGTCCACAGGGAAAGCATTCAGCTATGCTCTGGGTGAGAGCAGTCCATTAGTCCTGATGCCTTGTCACTACTTTCAGCCCTACCATGGGTGTTACAAACAGGCAAAGCTGAGTATTAGAGCTAATGGAAGGCTGAACCATCAGTTCCTGACTGTTGGTCCACAGATGACATGGTGCACTGGGAGAGCAGTGTGCTCTAACTGTTCTATCAAGACAGATACAGTCACAGCAAAGGTATATAGATTTATTTACTACAGGTAAGAACTGTACAGTCAATACAGCCAACACAGAAAGCCAAAGCCTGTACTGTACATAGCACATGCAAAGCTATGACAGAATGCTCTTTCCCTTTTCCCCCAACACAGAAAGGGGAAAAGTGACAAGTCTGGAGTTCCAGTCTGTTGCAGGATTCCTCACCCAGGAAGATACTCAAAGCACAGAAGCAAATTACAGCAAGATCCTGGGAAAGGAAGTCCCTAGTTCTCCACAAAAGGACACTGCTGGTTCTCTTTGTTCAAGTCGCTCCAAGGACAGTTCCCAGCTTTGAGGTTCCTGCTCAGATCCGCTGCCACTATTTCCTTCTCCCCAAGGTTCTCTCCCAACACATGCCTCTTGACCTAGAGAAGGGAGAAGGTAAACAATGTGAAACAATCGAAAGTTAACAAATCCTCAGTAAAACATATAATCCCTTTTCAGGCCATCCAGATAGTCTGACAATGCCTGTCACTCCAGTATTTGAGTGATGGACTCTTTTCCAGAGCATAGTAAAGGATGTACTGTGGTAAGGCAGAAGATACAGACATCGAACAAGTGTTGAAGGGATCTAGGGACAAGATCATCCCATAGAAAAACACTTGGAAAGTCACCAGGTTCCACAGGCATATGAGGCCACAGCTACAGTCTAGAGCCATACAAAACACAGAAAATTAAAGAGTTCCAGGCCATTCTCCCTCCCACAGTATGAGGCATTAAGCTTTACCTGGCGAGGTGCAGAAGCACTGGGGGAATTATCATCTTGTAGGACGCTGAAGGGAGAACGGCTGTTTCCTCCAGATGTTACCAGGATTTTGTTGCCAGCCTTACGTCTTGCATACTTGCTCCCTAGTGACAGAAGGCAACAAGTCAGTGTGGTACAAAAAAAGCTATTGGGTCCTGGATTTCAAGTGCCTCCTGACAGATGCAAACTAGTCTGTTTGCTTCCACAAATGTTATCCAAAATATAGAAGGATTAGTATAAGAACAGGGCTGAGGTTGGAAGAGACCTCTGGAGGTCATCTGGAGATGACATTAGGAGGTATTTCTTCTCAGAAAGAGCAGTCAGGCACTGGAGCGTGATCTATGTGAAAGACTCACAACACTTAGATGTGCTTCCTGCCTTCTATCCCCAGCAATTCCCCAAGGAGGATCTGTAAGGGCCCACTGAATAAATCACCAGAACTGCAAACCTGTCTCACACAGGATAAGAACACTTCTATACACTTAGATTTTAGTTTTGACTGCAGATTAGGGATGTAACTTCTCAATTCCTGATGGAAATCAGTTCGGTAAGAGCACAATCCCCAGGGAGCCTCCAGCCTACCAGTTACAGAGCAGCAAGGACAGGCTGCTGAGCTGGAAGGAAGGGACAAAGGCCAGGTGCCTGTGAGGCAGCCAGCCTTGTGCGTGCTGCAGGAGACCCCCAGGGCCCTGACTGGCAGCAGCCGGTCCCCCCCGCAGCCCGGTGCCCCCCACCCACCCCATCCCCGCACTCACCCGCGGCTGGGGCCGTCCCTGCGGAGCGCGCAGCCTTGGGGGTGGCCTCGCAGCACGCTGCAGGCGACGGGGGCCGCTCCGCCTCTCCCCGGGGGGCCGCGGCCGGCTCCTGGCGGGGCCGTGCAGCCACCGGCGACTCGCTGTGTGCGCCGAAGGCCTCGCTGAGCTGCTCCACCAGGCGCTGCAGGCTGTCTGCGGGGGGAGGCGGCGGTCAGAGCCCCTCCAGGCCCCCCCCAGCTAATAGGGGTGGTGGGGAGGGGCGGGGGGCGCTGCCCCGCGGCCGCACTCACCGCTCAGCGCCTCCTTCATGGGCGTGCGGGAGATGCCGGGCGTCGGAGACCGAGGATCCGCGGCGGGGCCGTGCTGCGGGCTGGGGGCGGCGGGGGAGCTCAGCACCTGCAAAGGGGAAGGGGGGGAAGGGGGGAGCAGCGTGCGGTGAGGCGGGGCGGGAGGGGAGGGGAGGGCAGGGAGGAGGGGAGCGGGGCCGTACCTCGATGGGGGTGCGCAGGATGCCGGCGCTGGGCGAGCGCGGGTCGCGGACGTGCTCCGGGCGGCGGGCGCGGGGCGGCGCGGGGGTGGCGGGGGCGCTGCCGGCGGCGCCCATGGCGGCCCCGCGCTGGCCGCCGCCGCGATTCAAATCTCCCGCGCGCCGCCCGCCGCGCGCTCCCATTGGCTGGCGCCGGGAGCCTGGCCACGCCCCTCCGCGCCATGGCCACGCCCCCGAGCCCCGCCGGGATTGGCCGGTGCCGCGGCGGGCGCTGATTGGTCGGGGTGTGTCCGCGGGCGGGGCCGCAGAGAGCCGCTGTCATGGCGGAGCTGAGCGAGGCGCTGCTCTCCGTGCTGCCGTCCATCCGCGTGCCCAAGGCCGGCGACCGGGTCCACAAGGACGAGTGCGCCTTCTCCTTCGACACGCCGGTAAGCGCCCCCCGCCGCCGGCCCCCGCCGCTCGCCGGGCTCCCCTCCGCTCCCTCCCGCTCCCGGCCCACCCGCCCGGCGGAGGGGGGGCGCCTCCCGCGCGGGGGGACATGGGACTTGTAGTCCCGCGGCGGGCGGGGCGGCGCGCGGCCGGGCGCTGAGCGGGGTGGGGCGGGACTACGCCTCCCAGCGCGCCCCGCGGCCGGCCCCTCCCGGCCGAGGCATGCCGGGAGCTGTAGTCCCGCGGCGGCGGCGGCTGTGTCATTAAGATGGCAGCGCCCGGGGGTCCGCGCCCTCACCGGGGGTGGCCCCGCGGCCCCCTCCCCTCCCCTCCCTCCCCCCCTAGGAGTCGGCCGGCGGGCTGTACATCTGCATGAACACCTTCCTGGGCTTCGGCAAGCACTACGTGGAGAGGCACTTCCAGAAGACAGGCCAGAGGGTCTACCTGCACCTCAAGCGGACGCGCAAGCCGGTAAGGGAACAGAATAAATAAAATAAATAAAATACAAGAAACACAAGAAATAAACCCAAAGCCAGCCAGGTATAACCCATACACACAGCCCTTATCCTGCCTGGGGAGCTGGGATCCTCGCAGGGGTTGCCCCAAAAGCCTCAGCCTGGCCCCGTTCCGTCCTCACGCTGCTTTAACATCGATCCGTAAGTCCCACAGCGTGCCCGCCCCCCTAACCCTATGCCCCCGTTTCTTCTCCATGAGACAGAAGGAAGAGGATGCTAACTCCAGTGCTGGGGACCCCCCGAGGAAAAAACCGACTCGCTTGGCCATTGGTAAGGAAGCACCCGCGTGCCAGTACATTCCTTCTCCTTTCGGACCAGGCCTCTGGAGCTGTATGACCACCTCTTTTCCCTTCCCTCTGCGAGGCTGCTTGAAGCTAGCATCCCCAGCTGAACTCAGACTTAAAGTCTTCTAGCACATCCCAAGTGGGCAGTGACTGCAGAACGGGTGTTGAGATTTTGTTCTGCGTTCAAAATTGCATCGTGCTTTGTGTAGATAAAAGTGTTTTGGCTTCTCCCCTAACTCCGTGTGCCTGACTCAGCTGGGTGTGCACGTCAGCCTTGGGGGGCTGTTGGTTAATGGGGATGTATCCAGCGTGGGTCAGAAGGGAATTGGAAAATAATGTGTAAGTGTGAAAAAAATCAGTTTGAAGTTTCTGATAGAAAAAAAAAATATTTGTTAAACTTCTCAAAATTTGAACTGGCGTTATTGGTATAGAAAGGGAAGAAACGACTGGCAAATGCTGTGTGAACGTTTTTGGCTAGATAGCTCTCTGAAACACGAGGCTGATACTGGAGGACGTACGTGAGGACTTTAAATATTAAAAGCAAGTCCCTTTTTGGGAGGACAGTGCTGATGTTCCATTACTCTTCTGCACCAACTGAAAAAGCTGTCACGGGAATCAGTGAAGATGCTTCTTATTTGGGGCAGTCTCGGCTGGTGATTCCTGAACCATTACGGAGATCTATAAAGCAGAAAGGACAGGAACATTCTCAGCAGTAACAGGTCCTTGGCCTGGTGGAGACTGACCACTAGAGGGAAATCCAGAACCCGTACCACGTCAGTCCTGCTTCTTGCTCACTTTTTCCCTAGCTGTGCCTTGCGTAGCAGAAGCCTGCTGGATTTCAGCAGTCTGTTTCACTCTGCTTAGAGTTCAGGAGCTGTGTGATGTCCTGAAGGGTTGTGTATTGCCTTACTTTGTGAAGTGATGACAGGAGATCTCTCTGGGGTGTGCTGGAGAGGCGCAGAAATGGATTATTTGCATGTGTTGTTGTGTTATGCGTGTGATTTTTCAGGTATTTCTAAAGTCGTTCAGGCTTGCAGCATCTGCATTCATGCGTGGCAGTTTGTGCATAGTCTAAACATTATAGGTGTCTGAGGGAGAGTTGCAAGAGAAATTGTGTTTTGATATTTGTTTATTGTTTTGCAAGACTGGTTTTGTTTGTTTGTTTGTTTTGGGAGTACCTACAGAAATCAGAGACTGTTCCCTCCATTGCAAATGTAACTTTAGTTGGTTCTTTGCAACTGGCAAATAAGTTTTTTCTGCTTGTAGGCAGGGGCTGGAGTTTAAGCATCTATAAAAACAGCTGGTCAAAGCAAGCCCATTGTCACTAGGTTTCTATTTGCTTCTGTGAAGTCCACACCTATGGCAGCAGTTTTAGGACCCAGACAGCTTGTGGATCACTAAATTAGAGTTTTGCCTTAGTCATGGTGCCTTACTTCATGTCAGCTGTGGGCAAAGAAGCCTTGCAAGCTGTTTGGTTCTGCCCATTGCCACAATGTTTGGTTTTTTTCTTCCTGTAGGTGTGGAAGGTGGATTTGACATCACAGAGGAAAAGTTTGAATACGATGAAGATGTGAAAATAGTTATTTTACCAGAGCATTTGGATATTCCCCGTGACGGGCTGGAGGGGCTCCCTGACATGGTCAGAGACAGGGTGCGTTGGGGTGAAGGGAGGTGCTTTCTCTTGGCGGGGAGGAGGTGAACCATTACAGTGAAAGAACTGCTGCCCTGTAATAGTGATCCTGCCGAGCTGCTGTGAAGTCTCAGCCTGGAGTAAGCAGGATTACTCAACACTTTTATAAAGCACTTAAGCAGCGCTTTGTAGTACAGAGTCCTGCTCTGTGGCTGAGGCTCCCAAGCACTGCCTTTCTGCAGCTGACTTGTAGTTCTGAGCCTAAATGCGACGTGCTGTGGCACTGGAAGCTGCTTTTCTTCTGAAGAAAATGTTTTTCTTCATGTTTTTTTCCCCCTACTACTCTAATTGTAGATTGCCAGTGCGGTGGAGGCCATCCTGACGGCAGACTCAGCCTCGCGGAAGCAGGAGGTGCAGGCTTGGGATGGGGAGGTTCGGCGCGTTTCCAAACACTGCTTTTTCCCTGCACCAGCTTCAGAACGACGTCCGCATCCCACCATGGTGAGCGCAGCGCTGAGAGCAGCTGTACTGCTCTGTGTCCCTGATCCACCCTGATCGCCGCCTTCTCCTGTCCTGGAACAGCAGCAGATGGGATTTCTTTTGTGAGGCCTTGCCCTGTGCCTTGTCATAGTAAATTCAGGGGAAGGGGCAAACTAAGGCGTTTCAGGATGTCCCAATGTTTTGAAATAAGAGAACTGAGAGCACAGAAACCTTTGCTTGTGCTATGGCCAGTGGGTAGTAACGGAGAGGGCGTGGGCAGTAGAACCCGAAGGTTTTCACCCTAACGGCTCCTCTCCTCCCTTTCTTCTCAACAGCGGCTGGAAGTGCAGCAAGTGTGACATGAGGGAGAACCTGTGGCTCAACATGACCGACGGAGCCATCCTCTGCGGCCGGCGCTACTTCGATGGCAGTGGGGGCAACAACCACGCGGTGGAGCATTACCGGGAGACTGGCTACCCGCTGGCTGTGAAGCTGGGAACCATTACTCCTGACGGGGCTGGTGAGAAGAAGGGGGCTGCAGGGAGGGGGAGGAATCCCCACGCAGGCTGGCTGTGGGCTCTGATGAGGCGCGTAAGGGAGGATTTCCAGGTACCAGGCTGGCGTTGCCTGTGTTACGACCTGGAAAGTCTGGCATACCATGAACCATTCCCACTCTGACAGCTGCTTGTGGCAGGGAAAGAACCAGCAGATAAAACCCTGCCTTCCTCCTTCCCTCGCTTGTACTTTAAGGATTTTAGAAATTATCCAGATTGCTTGGTGTGGTGGCGTTTACCTAAATTTATCAAAGGATTTTGTGTCGAAAACCTGAGTGGAGTAGCACAGTAACCCACTTTCCTTACTCCAGGCATACGTGTAACTCTATATCTTGATCAATGAGAAAGTTGTTTGTCTTGTCACATGTTCTGGAGGAATTTCAATATTCTCTCTGTTGGCTACTCTCCTGAAAAAAAAAAGAGAGAGGAAAATCCAACTGCTCACTCTGTCAAAACTCCCAGTTCTCTTCATCCAGAGTGAATTTTAGATCACAGGCCGTCAGTCTTTCCTTTTCCTTTGTGTCCCTGCGTAGATGTCTACTCCTACGATGAGGATGACATGGTGTTGGATCCCAACCTGGCAGAACACCTTGCTCACTTTGGGATTGACATGCTCAAGATGCAGAAGGTGAGGGGGAGTTCCTGTGTAGGCCCAGAGTGGGAGAGAAGCAAGTCTAAGATTTCTTAGCTGGATCCCAGCTTTCTGCGGCTATGCAGAACCATTCCATAGTGCTGGTGCATGATTTCCGTGCTCCTTTTTAAAGGATAGTTCAAATTTTTCTCATGTTTCTTAGCATTCCTCCTTCTGTCCCAGATACTCAAATATTTGAAAAGAATTTTTATATCTTCCTCTTCTTCTAATTTAATCAAACAGGATTAATTCAACCCTTTACGTTTCTCTACTGTATTGCCCTTTTCGTGCCTCAGATGTTCACTTGAGTCTTCACTGAGAGTTTTTTTTCCTGTGACCCCCTCCACAGACAGACAAGACGATGACAGAACTGGAAATAGACATGAATCAACGCATTGGGGAGTGGGAGCTCATCCAGGAGTCTGGTGTGCAGCTCAAGCCCCTCTTTGGGCCTGGGTACACTGGCATCCGTAACCTGGGCAACAGTTGCTACCTCAATTCTGTGATGCAGGTGCTGTTCAGTATCCCAGACTTCCAGAGAAAGTAAGTGAGCTTAACCTCTCGTTTCCACTGGCCTGGGATCCCCTGGGATCAGTACAGAAGTCTCCTAGAGCTGTGAGCTTCTGGTGCAGGACTCAGACTCAGAGCTGTGTCTTTACTGGGCGAGTCCGTGTGTCCTTCAGGTGGCTCTGTCCTGTTTTGCAGGTACGTGGACAAGCTGGAGAAGATATTCCAAAGCGCACCTTCGGACCCCACACAGGACTTCAGCACACAAGTGTACGTAGACTTTTGGTGGGAGAAGGAAGGCCGAGGCTGCCTGGGTGCGTCTCCTCTGCTTTG